AATAATAATAATAATAATAATAATAATAATAATAATAATAATAATAATAATAATAATAATAATAATAATAATAATAACAATAATAATAATAATAAGAATAATAATAATAATAATAATAATAACAATAATAATAATAATAATAATAATAATAATAATAATAATAATAACAATAATAATAATAATAATAATAATAATAATATTATTATTATTATTATTATTATTATTATTATTATTATTATTATTATTAGTACGGATACCTTGAAAGCCACATGTCGCGCTATTCTCCTGAGTACTGGGTTCTACATTGCTCGTGCATTGGATCTTTTGCGGGTTCCCAAGAGAGAAAAATACGTTTGACGAATATAGGAAAATTGCTAGTGACGCAAATAATATGAGAATACTTGGGTGTGCCCTTTTTCCAGGTAACACCAAATAAGAAATAAACATTATGAATGAAGCAACGGCTGAAATGGCTCTAACGATCTGTGTTGCAAGAAATCCTCTTTCTAAATATCCCGAAGGATACAAGAAATACGATTGAGGACAAGGAAGACAACACCCGTTTAAACAATAATCGGTACTTAGAGTCTTTGTTTTGTCAATGGTGTACGCTGTGTCTTCTACTAGCGGTGCGAAACACGTGGAAGCCGATTTTACTTGTAGTTCCGAATTGCATTGATCAGGTTGGATTTTTAAAGTGGTCGTGGCGGTAATATTTCCTGACGAGCAGGTTGTGTTCGTTGGGAATAATGGTGATCCAATTATATATTTTAAAACCATCGGATCTGTCAGAGAGGCACACGCACTTAAAACATTTGTACATGTTGATGTACATAATGGTTGTAATGAAGCTTGATCTATAAAAAAAAATAAAAAGCTATTTGTTTACTTGTTATAGACGATTTATATATTTATATTTATTATTTTGAGAGTTCCACCTGTTGTACATTTTGGATATGTTATAGCGCATGCGTAACTCGAAAATACACCAACGCATTGTCTAGTTTGACTATTCGGGTTCAATATAGCAAGACCTTGAGCTATTTTGAGATCTTTCAATGAATCGTCCACATTCGATCCCTTAGGATATATGTAATCTGATGATGATATAAAATTCTTGCAAAATAATATATTACTATATATATTAGATATACATTCATATTTTTCAATATTTTCAAGGAAATGTAATTATTGAAATTTTGGTGATAATGCTTACGGAACATATGCCTAACTCATCTTTATAACCTATTTGACACTGGGCAGTCCCTTGAATCACAAGATTCAATTCGACTAGTATTAAGACCAACAAGGAGTATCGTAAAAACTTCATATTGACTGAATACTACTGAACTTTCCTATTCATTATAGTTTATTTGTCCTTTCGCAGACAATGGTTCTTTCACAGATAACAGAGTGTATATAAAGTATATAAATATGTTTAACTAAAATTCGCTAAAAAGACTCCTGTACACTTGTTTTTTTTTTTTGTGCGTCGACTATTCAACGACCGAGGCTCTCAGAGTTTTTTTTTTTCTTTCGAATAAAAAGTTATCTAAAAATATGAGCCCAATGTTTAAAAAAAAACATATCAGAATATATGACTCCGTGACGACTGATCTACTTCAGCTTAATGAAAAGATAACCAATTTTGGATTTATTCTGAAATATAATCTTGATAGACTGTAGATTATAATGATTCATTTTATTCTTTGACTCTAGATAGACTCCAGTATTCTACTAGTGTAACTACATTGATTTTCTTAATTACTTTAATTACATATTTAATTAATTAAAATTGACTATAAATTTTCGGATAAAAAGATGTCTAGCATAAATTATCATATGATTTATACACAATATATATATATCGATATATATTGGCATCTTTGTCCAATACAGAAATTAATTAAAAAATAAAGTGTCGATGATTACATACGTAGCAATATCCGGATGATCATATTCCGTCCGTTAAATTATCCCGAATCTTTTACAACTTTGGAAACTAATCTAGATACTTTAGCTATGCACATATGGACTTTTTGCAGTAGAAAGGCTCGAACTTCTCCGTAAATCAAAAATAAATGGACTGGGATCGTTTCAAGGTCCAAGACCAGACCGAACCAGAACTGTAAATACTATTAAGTCGGTTCGTCGGTTCGGGATGAACTAGACAAATGTATCCTATACTTTTGAGTTTGGTCTTTTTATTGCAAAGGCTTCAGATGGACCATTTGCTAAGAAGGTCGCTATTTGAAAGCAAGTGCCAAACAGTGAATTTCCCAGAAATCATCCGACTAATAATGAGGATAGATGGCCATGGACTAGAAAAACCCATGTCTGACATTTTTTTATCAATTTCGAGATTTTTGATTCAAAATAAAGAGTCAGTTTCTATTTGCACATATTTCACTTTTTACCCTACATTGATATAATAATTTATCGAGATATTTTAACTTGAAGGTAGACTAGTCTTTAGACGTTTGTGTTCTAAAAATAGATTAACGGCAAAAGATCGACGGCTGGATTGGTCAATCAATGTTTTATAATACATGATATTGTTTATTCAGTAATTGATGTTTAAAATTTAGATAATTCGATATTACAGATGCTTATTATTTACTTTTTGTATAAAAGTACAATCCTATATATAAAATTTTATTTTACTTAGAGCCAGAAAGCAGATTACAATAGCGATAGTAAAATTTTGTGTTAGCTGAGGTTTAGTTTTTTTCTTTGTATTTGTTACACGAAGATCATTTTATTCCGATTGGCCAATTTTTGTAGATCATTTCGCGAACCCAAAATAAATTAATTGAATAAGATATACTTTCTTTTACTTAAATTTTAGTAATTATAATTTATTATTTGGTTCTGATAGTTACGTGTATTGCCAAACATATTATCCAGTTATATTTTTTTTTAAAACAAAATCCAAAATTTAATTTATTAGATATAATATAAAGATCCTTCATATTAAAACTAAATTGTCAAGAAATAATAACGGGAAAAATAATAATTAAATTTAATAAATAAATAGTTAATTGTGGTAATTGAAAAGTACACGAAACCCAAATCTATCTTTTAACAGTTCGACACCTTTTGGCAGTTTTTTTAGTTTTACTTGTCAGAATTTAACCGACGAAAATGTTGATCCCAGTTTCAATTTTCATTAATATCAAAACCTTTAAGCTTCGTCTGACAAATATAGTTTAAAAGTATTACTAATTTTGAGAACAGCTCGCTTACTAGAGATCTAACTACAAAAAAAAAAGCTAAACTTTTTTTAGTTTAGAAATTCTTATAGAATATAAGCGACAACTAATTTGAAAAAAAACACTCTATAGCTAACCCTCATGATTATTCCTCTGTTTTCGTGATTATTTTTACTGTATATATGACGAAAGGTGTAGTTTCTGAATATGTATTCGGTTTCTGTATACAATTCATTTTCGTGGCAAACAATTCGTTCAAAGTCAGATGATATATGCAGTATATATAGGGATGGTAAATGATTTAAAACAGAATGTTTTAAATCAGTTTTATATTGCTTTAAAATGATTTTTTACATGTTTTAAAACATCGT